CTTCAGGTGGCCGAAGGCTGTGCTAGCACACTGGAGTTGGTGCTGGGTCTCTTCATCAAATAGTTGCTTTGGCTGACAGGACACAAAATTTCGGAAATAGTCAAATGTTCTCTAATGCTTCCTCATGGACCTTGATGATTGGGGTTTCACTTCCGAGTGTCAGGCCAGGTAGATGGAGGACCTTTGTCTTACGGATGTTCAGTAGGAGACCCATGCTCTCGTAGGCCTCCGTAATGGAGCTGGTGGTGGTCTGGAGTACATCCTCAGAATGCACTGACACAAGCATCATCCGCGTACTCGAGCTCAATGACACTGGTTGGAGTGACTTTGGTCTTGGCTTGAAGGCAGCAGAGATTGAATAATTTCTCACTGATTCTATAAGTTAGCGTCACTCCAGCAGACAGCTTGTCAGCAGTGAGGTGAAGCATTGCAGCGAGGTAGACAGAGAACAATGTTGGAGCAATGACACAGCCCTGCTTGACAATGGTCTGAACAGGGAATGGGTCAGTGGTGGAGCCATTTGTCATTACCATTACTTCCACGTCAAAATGGAGCAGGTGAAGGTTGATGACAAACTTCATGCTGCAACCAAAACAGAGACACTCCATAATGCTTCCCAATTGATAGCGTCAAAGGTCTTTGTAAGGTCAAAGGCGGCCATGTACATGGGTAGGTTCTTTTCTTTGCATTTCTCCCACCAGACTGCATACTACTGTACCGCCACCAGTATGGGGGCTGTGCTGTTGGCACAGGACATATTCAGGGATATGTATGGTGGTGTCAGGGACATTGCAAAGTATGGGTCTGACTCTGTCAGGTTGTTGCTTGAGAAGTTTGAGACAGCTCTCCCAATTTTGGCATGAGCCGCTGCATGTTTGGAAGGAAATCTTGGTCAATAGCGCTTTGCTCGCCGTTGTCATTTCCAGTGCCTAAGTTACACCAGGTAGCCCAGTCAACTTCATTTTTCTTGATACATTCTAGCGGTTGATGCAACTGAGTGGCTTGCTACACTGTTTCAGATGGTGGTTAAGGATCAACTACATTGCTGTGGTCTGGAGTCATGAGCAGACCAGACCCAGGTGAAGATGGCAATTTCCTTCCCTAAAGAATATTAGTGAACTAGATAGGCTTTTTTTGACATTCAACATGGTCATCACTAGACTCTAACCTCCAAAGTTTTACTGAATTCAAATTCTACCATCTGCTGTGGTGAGATTCAAACACGAGTCTCCAAAACTTTACCTGGGTCTCTGGATTAATATACTAGTAATAATGCCACTAGGCAGCAGCACCCGATCATCAGTATTGTGACATTTTTTTCCACTAGTTAGTCACTCTTTAATTCAACTATTATGAAACAGTTGTGAAAATAACTGTACTTGCTGATAAAGACAGAGAGGCTGACAAAGCCCAACAGTAATGTTTCGACTTTTGACTTGCACAAGAAAGATTCTGCAATTACAGCCTTCAAACTAGAAGCAATTTGAATTGCATTAAAAGATCTGATTTGTAAGACTTTTTAGTGTGTACCCACGCAAGAATTAAGAGATTTAATAAAAAGATACTTACAGGGAAGCCCATATCAGTCAACTGTTTTATCAGGCGGTTCATAAGCCAAGTCTCCTCTTGCTTATTTGATGCTTTCATGCCCTGAAAAATAGGCACCTTGTTCAGATTCTTTTTCTCCCCCCAACAGTAACATCAACAGCAGTCAAACTCATGACTTCCACCATTAGCACGAATGAAGTATTTCAGCAAATTTCCAAAATCAAAATAAAATAGAAGCAACCTTTTGATGCACTTTCTTGTTGGCATTGCCCCAGCCTGAGGAATTGCAGGAAGAGTTGCTCTCCTGAGAAGCCGCGTTATTCCACATTCCCATCTCCCCATCATCCTCTTCCCAGTTAGAATGATGGCTACTAGTCAGGCCGATTTCATCTCCACTGCTGACCCAACCTTCTTGCATAGATTTGGAGGCTGAATAATAAAAGCAAAATCATTTACTTGTCACATAATCAAAACAGTTTTGGGAAGATTAAGCTTACAACCAATTCCAGTTAAACATCCCTGCTGTGTTAAAGTCAAAGTATATCTTAATTTTGCATAATTTTGTTTTGCAGTTTTTATCATTTCCACCAGTTTCATAGTTAAGGCACAACAAAGATAAACAACAATCCAACACTACTTCACAAATAAAAAACTTTTGGAAGAATTTTCGGCTAGTGGGATTCTCAGCATGTTGTTGTCCATAGTTGGGAAGATAAGCAGGAGGGGAAGGGAAGAGGGGAGTGTGGTGTTCTTCATGGAAAGATTGGGGGAGGAAGGCAGCACCCTCAGAGTGTTGCACCCCCCCTTCTTCTTTTCCCATCCCCTTCAGCCATGTACCACTGGTGACCACCAACTCACTTCTGGGTTTCTGGAGGCAAGATATAGGCTGGAAAGCCAACCTATATGTTTAGCCACGCAATTAAAAAGCACGCTTCCTTGGCCTCAGGGGGAGGACAGATTCAGGCAGAAAGAAAATGCCTTCTCAGTACTGCTCGTGGATTGGAGGAAGAGTGCTGATGCCTAGTTCCCTGAGTGAATTGTAATTTTGTATGCATGCATCCATATATGATGCTCATATTTAAAAAAGACTTCTGGAATTGGTGATGGGTGTTCAGACCTATCTTCTCCACCTACCACAAATGTGGATCAGGTCTACCTGGTCCTGCTCTAGGGTCTCTACACAAAGACTGCAAATCAGGCAAACCTTGGGCTAAGGAGCCTGTCAAGGTCAAAAGACAGAGGGATCTGTCCGAAACTCCACTCCTCCTCCGAGATAACCTACCTTTGTTATTATCTAGGCCAATCCAAGTAAACAGATTCTACTTTGCCAATAACATTAATGCCGTTAAGCCTATAGATGTTATAGGCTTAACGGCATATATGTTAAAGTATAGAAGTTTCAACAGAAACAAAAATGAACCTGACACAACAAACAACTGTCATTTGGGTCAGAACCAATCCCTTCTGCAATAGGTATTGCTAATCTTACAGCCCATTTAATTTCTGATTAAAGACATGACAGTCATTATCCTGCATACTAAGGGTATAAATAACTTATTGGAAAAAGATATATACTATTAACCCAAATAAGGAGGGAAATCACATTTGTCAAATTTGATAAGAGTTCTTAGAGGATGTAACAAGCATGCTGGATAGATGAGAACCAATTGATGTATAGTAATGTGTTTGGATTTCCAAATGGCATTCAAAAACCACCATAAAAGGTTACTACACAGGATAAGAGCTCATGGTGTGCATGCATTCATGTGTGTGTGTGTTGTTGGAGGGAAAATGATAGCATGGAAGGAGGAACGATTGGGTAACTAAAAGGAAATAAGTGGGGATGAATGGATTATTTTTTCAGGTTGACAAAGTGTAACTAGTGAAGTGGGAACTGCATCGTGGTCTGAATTATTCATGATCAACATTAATGACTTGGATGAATGGACCAAAATGTACTGTAGTGAAATTTGCTGCTGGAAAGAATTTTGCAAGAAGCCTCAAAGAATCTGCAAGGGCGGATGGAAACAGGAGGTTGTACACTTTGGCAGGAAATATACAAGAACAGATTGTGTTTTTTAAATGGAAAGGTATACAGCATTCTTCAGGACAAGGAGATATGGTGTTCTTATACATGAATCACAAAATATTATCAAGCAAGTGCAGCAAGTGATTAGGCAGGCAAAAATAATGTTGGCACTTTTCAAAGAATAAACAGTATAAATGTAAGGAAGACTTTCCACTATTGTACAATGCATTGGTGAGACAGCACCTAGAGGGTCACAAGCAGTTTCCATCACCTTACTTAAGGAGGGTCGTACAGTTCACAGAAGGTTCACTAGGCTGATCCCTGGGTTGAAGGATTAAACAGATTGGGTGCATTTTCATCAGCGTTTAGAAGAATGGGAGTTGAACTTATTGAAACACAAGCTTCTGAAGGGGCTTCACCGCATGGATGCTGAGATGATGTTTACTGACTTGAAGAAATCTACAAATAAGGGGGCAGATTTTAAAAATAACATTTTTCCTGTTTAAAATAGAGATGGTGAGTAACTTCTTCTGTCAGAGGGCTATTAGTGCTTGGAATTTTCTTCTTCAAAGAAGAGTGAAGTTTGGTACATCGGACCTTTCAAAGACAACACCAAGGCTTCAGTGGGGATTGTAGAGTTAAGGCCACAAATCTATCAGCTATGATTTTATTCCAAGTAGTCTCAACACATGCGTGATCTATTCCTGCTCCTTTTTTAAAAACATTCTTAATTCAATAGTTTGTAGGTTAGTACTGGGGAAACAATCAGAAACATTGTTAATAAGTTATTAAAAACCCAATTAGCACCCTAATGTTCTTCTTGATGAAAACCTGATGCAGCTATTCTGATTGGTGGTATGTTTGAGTCAATCCCACATGTCTGATTGTTAATATTTCCTGAAAGAAAGAAAGCCAATTAACATTCAATGTGGTCTATCAACACTTTTCAAAAGGAAACTGCAAGAGACAAATTATACAGTTTTCCCAGCAAGCTACTCACATCCAGAGGGGACCTTTTTAAAAATCCACGGCTGTGCACACATATCCATGGGTATTTGACAGTATCCGTTCATTCTGACAATTCGCATGGTTAAGTTTTGACTGGTTGTATTGGTTAGCATCAGATTTCCGTGCTGCCAGTAAACTGGAAACTACTGCAGTCTTCAAAACCAGCCATAACATTTTTATATTTATTTGAAGTGTTAATTGATTCAAACTTTACTAGGAGTCCAGTCTATCAATATCCTCTATTCTAATATAGGAAATTGTATTCTAAAGCTCGTTGTAGTTTGTCATACTTGCGCTCGAGTCCTTTACTCCTTCAAGCTCACAGACCAATTAAACAAACCACTTCGACCTAAACTTGGCATTTCCAACACGTGGCTGATGTATTTTATAAATCTGTTCTACAATAAAAATAAACCCAGTTGTTCCTTGTTTTCCCAGTGCCGCACTCCCTTCCCTACGAAAAAATTCAAGAGTACACAGGCAAAATAGCATTCAAAATGAGAGAAAATAGAATGTACCAAAATAAATAATTTTTGAGCATGACTCTTTTTGTGTTGTTCACAAGTTAAACAGCTGCATTTTATCCTGATTGATGTTTTTTCTATCATTGAGTATTTGTATTGGCTTTGTATTCTACAATTCTATTTAAAATTATGAGTTACAATATCATATTGCCCTTGTTATATTACAAATCAAAACTTTGAGACAATCATGTTCACCAGCAAGGATCTTAAACTAGCTCTCATCTGCCTTGGAACTCAACCTTTTAAAACAGCACAGCAACGCTGCAACATGTTACAACTTTTGAAATATTTTTCTTCTGATTCTACCTTCCACTGGCATTTTTAAAATAGTATCATTGCAAAAGAAACTCTGATGATTATATAATTTTCAAATCTAATACATGAAGCAAAGTTGGTACGCTGCAAATGTCATTCTCATTAATTATCACCTTACATAGAAAAGCTTAATCTCTAATGCTTAGACAGCCAAGACAGACACAATTGACTGTACGGTGTCTTCCTGCATAACGATTTTCCGATTCTGTATATTAGTGCTAGATAATCTCTACTGAAATTTTTCTTAATGGACTTTATTCCCACGTATATTTTTAAACTTCCCACTTTGTTTCATTCATCATGATGATAATCACATTCTGCCTCTTATATTGGATTATACATTATCAATGTCTGGGAATTGTTATTTATGACAGTATTATTATTCCCAAAACTTTTGCATTTAACATATTTCTCAATTAGAACAAAAAGGCTCCAAGAGCCATTTTAACTAATTAAAAATTTATCATATGCCAACTAAGGTTGAAAGATACTTCGACTCAGGTGCCCTTAACAGATATTGAAGATTTTTCACAGAAAACTGTGGGCACCTGAATTAATCTCAAATTTCAAGCAAATAACGAAGTATTCTACTATAAATGAAAACCCTGTAGGATTACAATGTATAATAAGCTGACTTACATGCAAAAACTATACAAAGCACAAATGCTGTTCTCACCCACACCAGTTGGCAAACAGGAATTATGTATTATTCCAATAAATTGAATCCATAGTCCTCATGGAGAAATATAGCAAACTGCTCTCAACAACTTTATTTTGGTGAGCTTAGTGACCACACCAATTGGCACTTCTACACAAATAAAGAAATACTCAAATTTTGTTACCTGGTTTGCACATTGTCGGGACAGCAGCTGAAGCATTCCCTCTACTAAAATTCCCCGTTGACTCTGCAGTATTATCTGCCCAACTTGAGCTGCCGTTGGGAGGTTTGCCCCATGCTGAAGTTCCATTATCGACCGTGGTAGACGGAAGTGGCGGCTCACCCCAAGAGTTGTCAGTCTTCGTAGGAACACTGAGTGCTTCTCCCCAGCCTGGGAAAATATTAAAGCCTTCATCATATCAATCCAAATCGACTGCATATTATCCAAAGGTTTTCCCATTTGTTTGATCATGCAATCGAAGCCAAATGGTTTTTGTTAATCCAACACAGCCTTAACAATTAATTGAACACTATTTAGTTTAAATAATTGGTTATTCTGAAGGTTCAGTATCTTTAGTTAAGATAACTGAAATACCAAAGTTGAAGACCTGATTTGGAACCACTTAATTTCAACACACAAGGGCAGTGTTGCATCCTTTTCTATTAACATATATTTTTGTACCAGTTTGCCCCCTATTCACATCCTCTCAAATGTTCTCTACGACTTTCCAGTACCAAGAATTGAATTATATTCAATTCAAAAGAACTAATTTCTCTCCAGTTGTCAACTTGTTGAACATTCTGAGAAAAGAATCTTGGTCTGTAGAAATTAATTACCAATCTCTAGAGGACTGTTGCAGTCGTCTGCATTAACTGACGATTTTGGAATTGAAGCAAAATATTCAGTTCCATGTGCCAAGGACTTCATGAAGACCTGGTATTTATCACTGAAATGGTTATTGAGCCAGCAAATTACAAATTCATTTTTTAAAGAAATTATCCCTTAACTCTGTCCATCCAGTGAGAGAGTTGGGATTTATGATCAAAAATGATTGGGCCTACGTCAAAGACCTGTCATTTGTAAAATATGAATAGGTACAATTGAGCAAATTTGATGGTCATTGAACATTCTAATTTTACTGCATTGCGAATTCAAGATAATGAAGCTGTTTTGGTTTGGTTTGCTTTGCTATGCTATGTCTGTCATAACAACTCTCAGTTTATGAATATAAGGATTAGATCATTTAAATCATTGAGCTACTGAGTCATTCAATGGGATCATGGTTGATCCGTACCTAAACTTTATTTATCTCTAAGTTTGTTATCATTCGATACTCTTACCTAAATAAAAATCAAATCAATCTCGTTTTGAAAGTTACAATTGTTCCAGGATCCAGAAATTTTGGAGGTGCTAAAGTCGGGTAAAATAATGCCTTCTAATTCCTCTCCTAAAAGAATTTAGTGCCAAAACTAACATTGTGCACCTATATTTGGCTCTCCCAGCAAACAGTTTCACAAATGTTTTTTAATAATTTAAAACACACTGTGCATAGAAGATTGAGTGATAGTCTGATCAATGAAATAAAAGCCAATTTTCTGCAAACTGTTCTTAGAAATAAACTTTATATTCTAATGAAATTTGATGCTACAAGGATAAGTGTGAATTGGAGACTTTCATTGGATCCAAAAACCAAGTCTATACGAAATAGATAAATATCGCACTGCCCATTTTTAAGTTAACGTTTTTGTCAATTATCCATGACATCTTGAACAAGAGTAACTGATATGGAAGAATCAAGCATATAGATTGTTACAGGTGACAACTCCACAGCAAATAAAAATGTTACTTTCTTGAATTCCCACAGAAATATGTGCTTATGCCTAATATATTAATTATACATGAAACTTCTTTACCCCAAAAAATGATAAGAACATGGAACTCAACACCATGAGTGGTTAAGGTGAGCGAGAGAGTGAGAGAGAAAAAAGGATAGATGGTTATAATCGTCGACTTAGAAAAGAAAAAGGTAACAGGAGGCTCAAGGAGAACATAAACATCAGAACAGTCATGTTGGACTGAAAGTTTATACAACATAGAAGTGGGCTAATGTAAACATATATAATTATATTGAAAAGATCATAGCTTTTTTATTTTTCTGAATTTTTGATTGTCACCTGAAATGGGGAAAGAATAGTTTTAAAAGCCAAGGATTGTTACAGGATTACATTTTGTACATTCATTTCAAGCGCTGTTTACATAGCTTTTTGAGAAAGCAGTAGGGAAAATCGAGTTACAGATGAGCTGGAGCCAGAGGCTGTGTATGAATGGAGAGGTGACTGGCAAGAAGTGGCCAATAAATAACTGGTCATCAGTCTACAGTCTAATGACAAAGGCCTCCTCCCTGCTCATAACTATTTGAAAGACTCCCAAGTAATTGAACAGCTTGGGATGTGAATGCTTGCGGCAGATGCCATCTGACCTCTCAAAGGGAAGGAGCTGCAGAAAAAGCATCTCAGTCTTGACGGTAGCCAGTTTAGTTCCTTTCATCAGTTGCTGCAAGTTATGACTTTGAATTAATAAAACTTATAAAGGTTTCTAGCTTGAGTTTCAGCTAATTTGTCAATGGCTCATAATTATTTACCTGGCATTAAAATCTATTTGTAACAAATAGTCATTCTTGTTAAGAACAGAAACCTGGACTGAGCTTTCTACCAACTTAGATCTAAGGCAGGTACATTTGGGGATTTCTGTTACTCTTTAAAATCTTTACCTTTTGTGAGGACTCCCCGAATAGCAGACCTTGGATTTTCCGAATGCTACTCCAGTGAGGTGTAACATTTATGCACATCAATATACAATTTAAAATAATGTCTTTTGCTACGATACAAATCTATAACATAATAATTGATGCAAATGAGTTTCCAGTTGCAGAGTAGGATTTTAACAATGCATTAGTTCAGAAAAACATCAAAGTAGTTTTCTCCAACTTATTACAAAGGTGAGAACCCAAATTATAGTTAACACCAGAATACTTGAAGAAAACAGATGTCTACAAAATTTAACATTTCAAAAACTTAATGTCTGTACAGTTAAGGCATTTTAAATTTTAGCATACAGAGTGCAGCACATTGAACACAACAAAATATGTATTCAGGTTTGAAGGCTAGGGAATTACGTTATCTTTTAAATACAGTGCCCATTCAATTGAAATTAGTTTTATTTTTGATTTCTTAAACTTGCAACATAGACATTATAGTTAAACAAAATGAACATTTCACTATAGCATATTTAAAGAAGCAGTGTTTAACCACCAGGGGGCAAAGATTTCTTGAAGCATGAATACATCCATTTTGTTGTGTTTTGTTTTGTGTTTCTTTGCACTTAGTCTTATACTTAAATTAAGAGACATGCTCAGCTAAGTCCAATTTTCTCAGCATTTACTTTATTGTAAATGAGTCATTAACATCATACTGTATTGACCACAGTATTTGCAGTTTTTTTTTTCATTTCTGATGTATGCCAAACGAGCTTGCTGCGTTTAGAACTGAATCATAAATATGTTTAAGGTAACCCCGCAAATATTTTAAGAATTAACTGCTATCTAGCAATCATTCTAGATCTATAGAAGTGGCTTTGAAAGAGTCATTTCTTAACAGTCAATGCATTATTATGCCACTGCTGCTATCCAGACAAACTCAGCCACTAAAAAAATAATGTTGTATATTTTGCATCTTGCAGTTTTGCAGAAATATGAGTGTTTATGGGAGAGAAAGCTTTTTTCTATATAGTGTTTAAAGTGTTTGCTCCATGCTTCTAGATTTAGCTTCAAAATAAATACTACAGTTCTTTGCTTTGGCAATGTCTACAATTTATTTACTTTTCTCCACATCCACACTTAACTAAACTAAGCACAGAGAACATCAATAATTAACAGACTCTCCTAATTAAACACAAAGATGGAATACCATAAAGAGCACTTAAACTTTATTCAAAAATACCTCATAAATAAGTCAAAGAGAACTCATGTTCCTTAAACCATTTTCTATAAATTTGACCTTTTTACTTTGCACAAAATACATTAGTAGATGGAGGGAAATTTGCCCTTGAAATTTGGGATTCACTTTTCATTTGTGCTAGATTTTAAGCAAGACCTTTCTTTTTGGGACCATGGAAGCACAATGTGCTTATGTAAAAGGTGAAGTCACCATAGTTTTGTAAGACCACAGGGCTGCTCTTTCATTAGAGAGAGAAAACTGGTGGTGGTTTAACATGAGGGTCACCACACCTTAGATGAGGGTATAGGTTGAGAAGGAAAATCCTTCATGGTAATCTCAGCCAGTGCAGGAACTGAACCCACACTATTTGCACCACTCTACATCGCAAACCTGCCATCCAGCCAACTTAGCTAACTGGCACGCTGCTTATGTGAATACAGTATTAATGAACAAAGCGTTTTTTTTTACTGCAAGAGAAAATACATGTCTCAGTGCAGCAGAATGCTTACCATCTGTTGCTGAACATTCTCTGCAGGGTTCAGGACTGGCATATGAATTTCTGTAGTTTATGACTTGTCATTTGAAATAAGGTAACAGTTCTAATTTTTTGATTTTGTTGCAGCTTTGTATGGTACCCGCCATTCCAGAATACAGAAAGCACCTAACTATAGTTTAGGCCTTAGAGATATCCATATTCAGGAAAATGTTTTTATTCTGGAGGTATGTCAGAATAGGTTACATAATAACAGAAACATTTGTGATATTGCCTTTGCAACAGGTTCATTAACAGGGTGTATGAATTTTTAAGTTCAGTGAAATATAATGTTAACACCATTAAAGTAGCTTCTTGGTAAATCCATTTTCAAAATACTTAATTGTTTAACTTTATTAATTCATGCAGAACAATTTCACAGAATCATAGAATCCCTACAATGTGGGAAGAGGCCATTTGGCCCAACAAGTCTGCACCAACCCACCAAAGAGCATCCGACCTGGAACACCAAACCCCAACCCTAACCCTGTATTTACTATGGCTAATCCATGTCTGCACATCCCTGGACACTACAGGGCAATTTTAGCATGGCTAATCTACTTAACCTGCACATCTTTGGTCTGTCGGACGAAACCAGAGCATCCAGCGGAAACCCACACAAAGGGAGAACTTGCAAACTCCACCCAAGGCTAGAAACAAACTGGGTCCCTGGCACGGAGGGGTAGCAGTGCTAGCCACTGTGCCACCATGCCACTCTTAAAAAATATTAAAAAGACATATTTATTTATGGGTAAATTAGGTAAGCTGAACTCTCATTCAGGAAACATGTGCTGCCTTCTTTAATGCTCTCTTTAGAAATGGCAAGTGCACAAATCTGTAGCAGTAACCAAGCAAATAATCTGGACATACACGTAGTGTGTTTAATATTCAGGTAATAACTGATAGAAAGCATTCAAAATTAGTCAAGGAAAGCATTTGTTACTGGAATTACATTTTAGGAATGAAAGTATTTTCTAGAATGAAAGGTAAAAGAAAGTGCCTGACCAATCGATTAAATTATCAACTGTTTTCAAGGAAGCCAATTTAAGGGTAACAATATACTTAACTAAAATAATTTTACGAGACTACAACATTTTGGAACACTTTATAACATATCATTTTCCATTAAGAATATATAAATATAATTTGCTAAAACAGCAGCACATATCTTCGCATTTCTCCCATTAATGATGTGATCATTTAAAACTCAGCTACCATTTTATTTAAAAAATGCACAAGTGCTGTACTTAAAGCAGTTTTTTTTTTAAATGGGTCAGATTTACTTGTTTACAGAAGCAGCTAAATAAAACAGCTGTACATAATCCTGTATCAAAACTGAAAACCACAAAACCATTCTATCGTTACTTCAATATACATTAAGCTAAATTCCAAAGCCCATGTAAATCATGTACAAACATAATTAACAAAAACTGTACAAGATACTGAAGAGATTCGGAGACTTGTGCACTTGGATTTTTGCATATATTGGCTATTTGAAACCCTAAAACCACACTTAAACTTTGAGTTCCATAAATGTTTCGAAATCTTTACTTGGATGAATGAAACAATTAAACGTGAATCATACAAACTTATTCTAGCAACCATATACACAAATATATGGAGGCTTAAATTAATAGGCTTGTTTCTAATCCTTTATTGTCCAATAAGCTCAAGAAACAAGTGCTTCAACTGCTGCAGAGGACAGACCATGATCAGGAAGGTGTCAGCTATAACCAATGATGCCCCAAGGAAGTGGTTGTGATAAAAAAAAAATTCCTCTATGGATTGTACTTATTCATCAAGATGACTCTATTTCAGATATGTTGATTTAAAGCATTGGACCTTCATTACCTGCAGGACTTGCCCATTACTGGATCTTCAATGTGACTTTCAAGAATGTTGCAGTTGTATGAAGCTTGTCAAGGTCTTTGAGGACAAGAACCATCTGCCGCAAGTGAAAATCCTCACTGCAGAGCCCTTACTTTGTCTGTAGTCCTAATGGGATTGAGTACCGAAACTGCTACTTTATAACTCTCACTCCCATCTAAGACATACTGACATTCCCAACGAGGTAAGGCTCACCAGGTTTGGAACTGCACTGGCGATTAACCTACTCTATAGCAAAAATCTGAACACTTTCTCATAGGAATCAACTTGCAACATTAATTGATGCAGAAAAAAAAAAGAGAAACTGAAAATATATGGCTCATCAATATCTGCAGGACATAAAATGGCAATTGGAGGGTATTCTGTGAACTTGAACTTTGCTGCTTAATTTAAGTGGAAACAAGTGGGTTCTGGCAAAACATGGAATCTAAAGACTGCATTCCCCAATTACAACTCTCTTCTTCCTCAGAGATAAACTGACATTTTTTGCAGTACTCCAAAGCAGAAACCCTTTTTTCAAGCAGAGGTAGACTGGTGGGAGGGAGCAGTTCCAGTGCTAAACTTAACTACTTTTGCAATGAGTGGCTGACCTGCAAAGAAAAAATGCTGCTCATGGTTTGAAATCTAGCAATCTAGACACAGGATACCAAATATGCAGTTTCTTTAATGAAACTGATGTTAAACTTTCTATAAATTCAATATAAATACATTTTATATATTCATTGTCCTCTGCACTGTCCTACGACAACAGACTTCAAATTATATGACACAGCCTAGGAGACAACTTTGTCTATCATGCCACAACAACTATCCAATTAATCCCATTTCTCTGTTATCATTCCCAGAACCTTGTAAACATTTTCCCTACATGCATTTATTCACTCTATTCCTTTCAGTAACTAACTATTGAAACTGCTTCCATAACCATTCAGGTACAGTGCTGGACCACAAGTGTTTCTTTTAGCAAAAATCTTAAATTTGACTCCTCTGGCTATTATTCCATTTGACAAAGGAAACTTTTTTCTTTCTTACCTGTTTTGTCAAAATACTATGACTTTGAACTTCTCTATTGAATCTTCCCATAATTATTTTCGCTCAATAGAAAATAGCAGCAATTTCTCTATTCATGAAAGACTCCATCACTGGTATTGGTGGCTTATCATCATCTTCTAAAAGGGCAGTTAGGGATGGACAATAAATGCTGGCTTATACAGCAGACCCACAATCAATGCTTGGCATTAAATTTTATCTGCCATGGGCCTACCCAAATCAACGATCTATTATGTTGTCCTGAAGTCTTCTATTATCCTCATTGTTTATTACATTTGAGTTTCATGTTACATCCAAACTTTAGAAATACACACTGCATACCAAAGTTCAGATAATTATTTTAATGGTTTCTGTTCAGTAACCAACTAAGCAGACCAAAATGAATGAATTTTTTTTTGTTTAAAAGATTGGTGATCACATAGCTGCACATTACTGATTTCACATACAGAATATTGTGCACATACATCATTTTAGCACTTAGTTATCTAAGTATCCTACAATAAGTACAAGTTCAACAAAAATTGGATTCAGAGTACTTATACATTTTTACCCTCTGGTGGAACATTCTACTAGCTAGAAATTAAATTTAGAATTTTGGTGGCTACTCCTCACAATTTAAGAAGGCTTATTGAACTAATGGAAGGTGCAGGTCCAGTACTGATTTATTGTCATGGTACTACAGGCAAGTCCCTACCACGTAGTGGTCCTGACTTGGGGACTTCTTCTGTGTGGTGCAGGTTCGGTCAGCCAAAACATAGAACTACTGTTGAGTGCATTATTTTGTTCAAAGACTTTTACAGGCCACTCACTATACCATTTATTCTTTTTCTGCTTGGCAGAGAGGGGAAAAAGCAGTAAGAAAAAGTATTGGGGGTCCATTTTGAAGGATGAGGCATGTTGAACTAGTATACATCCTTTGCAGGTTTTACGGAAGGCAGCATATGGGATACTTGCCTTCATTAGCCAAGACATAGAAAAAGGAGCAAGGAAATCTTGCTACAACTTTAAAAGCATTGGTTAGGCCATAGATGGAATACTGTGTGCCGATTTGGTTTGCCACAATAATGGAAGAAATGATTGCCCTGGAGAGGGTGTGGTGGCAAATGTGTCTAAGTCCAGAAGACATAAGTTTAAAGTGCGGAGTAAGTGGCTTAGAGAGGATCTGAGAATTTTTTTTTCTCAGATAGAAATACGGAATGTACTGCCTGACAGGGTAGTGGAGGCAGGTATCCTCACAACATTTAAATAGTATCTGGAGGAATACTTAAAATGCCAGCACATAGTAGGCTATAGACCAAATGCAGGTAAATGGGATGAGTGTAGTTTAGTGTTTGTTGGTCAGCACAGACATGGTAGGCCCAAGGGCCTGTTTCTATGCTGTATGACTATTACTCCCAGTATCTAAAACTCCATGTTTAGAAAGCTAATCAGAAAATGGTTCCCATTATACTGTATATATACTGATTGTGTGCCAGATACACAAAGAAGTAAATTTAACCTGCCCTAATACATATGAGACTCATTAATTTCAGAACAGCAAGTGACTGTAACAAATCAACTGCCTTCCCTCTTTGCCAGATAGAAGAAGAAAGCAGCAGACCTTGACAGGTATCAAGATGGGATCAAATTACTTTAGCATTTCATATCTAAGCATAAAGATCGTAATTCAAATGACAGTGTGCATCCTGCAATTTTTCTTTCAGGAATCAATGTTAATTTCAGTTATGTTTCCAGAATTTTATAAAAATATCAAAATTCCATCACACAGATCAACTTAAATACATGTTTGTAAAAGAAAATTGAAACGGTAGTGAATCCTACCTGGACCAAGTAGTGGGGATCGGTTTTGTGTGGCACTTGACTGATGGGGCTGAGGTGGTTGTTCAGCCACAGTGTTGCTACTACTTTGATTCACAGGATTGTTTCTATCCCACATGTTTACAGTCTTCTTATAGTTGGTTGGGTCTCCCCAAGCAGAGGTACCATCATCGATCTCTATTTTGCGGCGAATGGATGGTGGGGAAGGCTCTTCCCAGCCAGTGGGTTCGCTGTCCTTCTGTTTTGTAGGTAAAGGTCCACCAACCCAACCCGAATTAGACTGTTTAACAGAAGCAGCTCCTCCCCAGTTGCTAAGATTATTATCCTGAAGTTTATTTCCCCAGTTCTGTGGTGCACTCGATTTTGAAGGCTCTCCCCAGCCTGTATTTGAACTTGGTTTGCTGTTGGTACCGTTACTCCATCCACTAGGCTGTGATCTGGTTGTCTCATTCCAACTGGGTCCAGTATGGTTGTTTTCATTCTCCCAACTAGATCCATTTTTTTTTGCCTCACTTAAAGGTCCTGCAGCAGTATCAGTCCAATCTCCTCCTCCTCCTCCTCCACTCCCTGCTACTCCCACTCCTCCTGATGTCCAACCTTGATTAGTTTTCTGTCCTTCACCCCAATTTTGAGACTTGGGCTTTGGAGAGTCTGCCCAGGTTGGTGGTTTCTCCTCCTGATTAGAAACCCCACCCCAGGCATGGCCACTTTTGGCAGCAGCAGAAGTAGAATTAGCAGAATCTCCCCATCCCCCCTGGCTATTAGACACTTTGTCTCCCCAACCTGTGTTATCAGACATAACAGTTGGTGGAAGATTTCCCCAACCAGATACTAAAGAGGTATTCGTACTGCTCATGCTGGACCCATCACTTCTTGCCCCTGAGTTTGAAGACTGGGCAGCAGCAGAACCCCAGGCCTCAGTTCCATTGTCATTTTTTCGCTCAGACCTAGGGGATTCTTGAATTTCCCAGGAAATATTTTGCTTTACTGGTGTCTGTCCCCATCCAGAATTACACAAGACTCTAGGGTCATGATCTGGCTTTGACATAACACTCTGGACCAGCCCTTGCTGTTCATTCATCCCTTTATCGGGCTTTCGTCGGCTACTACTATGTCTTCCTCCACTTCTGCTGGTGCTTCCTTCATGATGGCTACCAGCACTCTCATTACTTCCCTCACTACCGGTGGCACCTAAATCAGAAGATTTGGCCAAAGAGTTAATTTGTTCATTACCTTGTTGCAAAGCAGGTGCTTGGTTGTTAACACAAAGACCTTCCCACCCTTTCCCATTTCCATTTGTTTCATTACTGGAATGCTGGTTTGAGAGTTTGCCCCATTCTCCATTTACACCATTGCTAGTGTTCCTGTTAGATGGTGTGTTACCCCAAGCTGCAATGCTACTGGGACCAGAGTGCAAGCCCCCAGTGGTACCAGCCCTTGTCCATGGCAGTACCCTAGGACTGGTAGGGGGACCAGAGTCCCAAGCATTGTTTCCAATATCCTTTTGAACAGCATTATTGGAATTGTTTGCTAATGTTTGTTTAGCACTTAAACTTAATGCAGAATTCACAGTGTCTCCATTCCCCTGACTAAATGCAGAGTTACTGTTGGTGGTTGTAGGATTAGTATGTGGCACTCCCCACACTGAGTTGCATGAAGGATTGTTCATTCCTTCGCCATTGCGCCCACTGAGTTGAGAAACTGCAGATGACCCACTACCACCAGAAAGGTTTTGAAGATGAGGTGGGTTTATTTTACCCATGCCTACTGTCATTGCCCAGCCTCCTGGTACAGAAACGTTAGGCAGTCCATTTGCTTGCATTGCATTGATAGGATTTGGTGAAGAGTTTATGGGGTTAGTGTTATTTGGTCCATCAGTGTTAAGGTTCTGAGGTTGTATGCTGAAAGACACATTCTGTGAAGTGGACGTTTGTGTATCTGTGCTCTCTTGCTGCAGCAAATTTCCCCAGGTATTCAAAGTACCTGCTGAACCATTATTAGGGTTACCATAATTCTGATCAATGGGATTACTTGGATTACAAATATTTGAAGTGCTTCCTCCTCCAACAGTTCCTTGAATTTCCTGACCAACTACAGGCCAAGCAGCTGGATTGGCGTTGGGATTAAGATTCAGGTTAATACCAGCAGTAGACGTAGAAGTGCTCCAACAATTTGGATTTACACTTACGATACTATCCATCTTTCCACTTCCACTGGGAGCAGAGCAGTGCCCTACACCAGGGGCAGATGCTGGGGCAACAGCCCACACCCTGGATGAATTTCCATTTCCACCATTTGCTCCACCTCCAATGGCACTCTGGTTTGAACTGCTTTGGACAAGCACTCCGTTGCCACCATTATTGCAATTTTTGTTTTGTCCATTGAAATTGCCTGGTGCACTCCCTGTAGCCATGCTACTACTATCTGAGCCACAGTTTGAGGCAGAGTCAGTGTCTGTGCATTCTGAGGCAGTTTCAGTCTCGTTTCCAGAAATGGAAGGCCAAGCCTCTTTGTCACTTCCGTCTATTATCACTTTATCCCAGATGCTGTTTGGTTCACTCCTAAAGGGGGGCTGTCCCCAGTGGGAATTTTCATATTGCGTTCCCAGACCACTGTGGCTAAGATCTGGAAAAGACCAAAACAGAAAGGTAAGAAATATTCTGTATCAATTAATACAAAGAATCACATGATGCAACTGCAGACCAAGTTGTATTAAAAGCAAATTGTGATTGCATCTATTCATTTTGATAATGGCTCAGCTCACAAGCTAAACACTACAAACCTAGACAAAAGGGAGAAAAAAAAGTAAATTTGAGAACAAAGCTACAATCAAACATTGGCTACATATTAACTGCTCATAATTCTAATATATTAACAAGATATTGTAAAAATGATTGACAAAAACAGGTGTTTTAGATACATGGAAGCCTTTAAGACGAATTCTTCAAAATTCTGAAATAAACTGGACTGCAAAGCTATGATTCTGATTAGTGGTTTGTAAAAATATTCTATTTGAAAGAGACTAGACAACGTACAAGAATGACTTGAATGAACGGTCTCAGTTCTTCCCTTCGCCCATATGAGAAAACATGTGGACATCCCTTGGTTGTGAAGGATGCAAACCTAACTATTTTCGTATATGCTTTTGCTCCCATGTTGTTGGTCAGTCCAGTTTTCTTCATTCAGGTATTAAAACCTACTGAAGCTGAATTCTATTACATTAGGATAGGGATTTCAAAAGTTAGGGTCAGAATCCCAAGTGGGGTCGTGAGCTCTGAAGAATGGTTGCCATGGAACTCTTACCAAGTTAAAACAACTGCATACTGCGTGTAACAAACCCCTGCCTTTTCAGTACTACGCTCTCTCAGTTCTCACCGATGGGCCTCGATCGTATTAAAGCCTCAAAATTGGGCCACAGTTCAAAAACGTTTGGGAAGCACTGCTCTAGGGCCCCCAAAGGTTGATCTTAATTGTTGTTCTTCCTCATCTACATCTATTTTGGTGACACCATCAAGACCCACATACACATTCATAACTTGCAGTTCCACTTCACCACCTCATTACTGTAACACTACATGCACAAAATCTAATGACCTGATAAAGCAGCAGCGCTCAAAAAGCTTGGTGTTTTCAAATAAACCCTTTGGACTATAACCTGGTGTCGTGTGACTTCTGACTTTTGTCCACCCCAGTCCAAAATTAGCACCTCCACATCATGTACAAAATGTAGTACTCTGAGCTGCAATTAATTCAAATATTCAGAAGACTAAAAAAAAAAGTTACATCTGCCTTCCCAGTTACACTCTGCACAGCTTGGTGTCCTCCTTGAATCCAAGTTGAGGCCTTTGAAACCCACTAGAAGCTGATATATAATGGCCAATCTGCTTTTCTTGTTAAATCATCTACATCACAAACACCCACTTGTGTAACATCACTGATCTCTACTCCTGTCTCAACTCGTTTTCTGCTGACACTCTCTTCCAAGCTTTTGTCACTTTAAGGCTCGATTAGTTTAATAACTCCTGGCCAACCATCCTCCCTCTTAGTAAACTTCAGCTTCTCCAAACTCCTCTCAGTAGCCCACAGTGTACTAAGATTATCTCACCTATCATCTGCTTAAATGTGCCAATTTTGCCCCCAAATGCCTCACCTTTCCCTATGTCTGTAACCTCCTACAGCTCACTAAAAATTCTGCATGCCTTTACCTCAAGCTTCTATGTAACCTCCCACTCCCTTCAGCCTGCTTTTGACAGCTATGCCCTGAACTATTAAGAACCCAACCTTTGGGATTCTTGTGCTCGGCCTCTTCGTCACATGTTGCTTTTTTGTGACTCTCCTTAAAACGTAACCAAAACCAAGTCAAATTTTATCTCATTTAATAGCTCCTTCGGCTCACTGTCAATTTTATCCAATTACAGTTTTAAGAAGGAACCATTGGATTACTGAATGCTTTAATGGCGTGTTTTTCATAAGCTTAACCCTGAACTCCACAATTAGAATCATAGAATCCCTACAGTGCAGAAAGAGGTCATTTGGCCTATCAAGTCCAAGCCAACCCTCTGAAGAACATCCCACCCATCCCTACACCCATAATCCCACATTTACCAAGGCTAATCCACCTAGAATGTACATCCCTGGACAGTATGGGGCTATTTAATATGGCTAATCAAACTGACCCACACATCTTTAGAGAGAGGGGGGAAACCCTAGCACCCAGATGAATCCACACACACACACTGGAATCGAACCTGGGTCCCTGGCACTGTGAGGCAGCGGTGCTAACTGCGGAGCCACCATGTTGCATGGTCCTCAGTGCAAATGGGATTCTAACTCTAGCATCTTTTAGTCATTACTTAGCATCTGGTCCAGTAAGGTCTGCACTTGCATGAAGGTCATCCAGTTATTTTGTTCAGTATTTTTTTTTCCCCACTTGTATTTCATCTTCTAAATAAATTGCAACTTTGGCCCACTAAATTGTACTCACCCACAGTAACTGCACCTGACCTCAACTATACAGCTCTTTTCTCAAATTCTGTCGTCATTTCGACTTCATTCCTGCTCACAAAAGGTTTTTGTTTAACTGTATATGAAACTATTAATCTCAGAATTCTCCACATTTAATTGGAGAAAAATAATCAAAACTCTTAAGTGTTTGTTAAAACTGAAATCTTGTGAGCTATACATTACATAAAGCAGCAGCCTAAATAAAGATAGGCAGCCTCTAATTTCTTGCTAATGCACTATATGAACCAGTAGCTAATGTCCTGTAAGCTTATAGACGTCTCAGTCTTGTACACCCGTAACAGTCCAATTGAAAAGCAGCACAGAGAACATCCTTGAAGAAAATTATACGCAAGCTTTCTTGGTAACGTGACAGTGAAGCTAAATAAAGCCGACATTCCCTTCCATTTAGAGAGGGGAGGAAGGAGGATTAGGGGAAATGTCTAATCTTTATGTCACAGACATTAGACATCAATATATTCCTATCAAAGAAAGCTGGAGGGGAGTTTTCTTTTCAGAGCTTGAAAACCTCAACAGTGTCAGCCTTACACTTTTCTACTGGATCAGCTTCCCTTTCCGAATGCTGCTGCAACAAGTAGTTCAAGAGTAACCACAGTAAATTATAGAGGGAAAGAAGTTGAGAAAGTCCACTGACAGACCATATACAACTGAAAACTCTCAAATGAAAAAGGATCAGGGCAAAGCACTGCTTTGTGAGCACAAATTGTATCTTAAAATAGTTATTGATTGTTTAGAGATTCAGACACAAATTAAATTTCATGTTTCTACGGATAAAGGTATAAAAAAAATACAATTACTGAGGCATTGTATTAAGGCAACAGCTCCTTAATAACAACACTTCTGATTTACATGACTTTGAAGTTGTCTAAACTCCATTCTTCCATGTGAAAATGTGTTACAGGATTTTGGTGCTTAGAACTTATAAATAAATATCAAAATAAAACAGGATTAAACTAAACAGATGTGACTGTTCAAGTATCCCAAGCTATCAAATACAACGTTCACTGAAGCAGCCCTCACCGGGGTCATTTCTTCAATGCTGTATTCCCAGAGGATAAGTGCAAGCTTTCTCCAAAACAAGACAGAACGTTCCATGAGTGGAAAAAAAAACAGCTGCTCCTCAAGAGAAACAGACATTGCACAATTCAGTAAACCATGTAATAACAGTACAGAAACCAAAATTAACCGTTTTCACTGCTCTACCTGCTGTTTCTTAAGTGTGTACTTAAGCAAAAGCAGATAGTTTACTAAACTGCTACCTCACTTGGGCAATGTGTGAGGGTAATACAGTGGTGGTCAAGGGAATTTACACTATCATTTTATCACAACTGAAATTTAGTGCAAGTAGATTACCTGGTTCGTGGCCAGGAGCAGCCCCAAGTCATGATTCAAATGGTGTCATCAGGTCAAGAACGCTAATAAACTCCAGGATTCAGGAGACCTATTTAGTTTCGAACTCATTAGCAACTTGGGATGGTGGTTAGTAACCAGCCAGAAGAGACTCAGCTGAGGCCATACGATACAGAAGCAGAATTAGGCTATTTGATCCATTGGGTTTACTCTGCCATTTGATCATAGCTGATATGATTCTCAACCTTATTCTCCTGCCTTTTCCCCATCACCCTGGATCCCCTCATTAATCAAGAACCATTGTCTTAAATGCATTCAACGACTTGGCCTTCGACAGATTCACCATCCTCTGGCTGAAAAGAAATTCCTCATCTCAGTTTTAAAGGGTCATCCCTTCACTGAGAGGCTGTGGTCTCAGGTCCTAGAACCTCCTACTAGTGGAGGCATCTTCCCCAAGTCGATTCTATCCAGGCCTCTGTGTTCTGTGAGTTCAGTGAAATTTCTTAAATAATTGTTATTATAATAAGTAAGTATACATTAAAATTAATCTTGGGTCTTCTCATCCCTGGGATTTATTCCCCCCCGCCTCCCCAAGTGATCCAGGCCTTGCCTATTGCGCCTACCATTCCAGGTTTGAATTGGGGTTAAATATTTGCTTTCCTTCCCCTTCATATTATTTCAATTTTTTTGTACTGTCTCATTTCCCTAAAGGCACATTTACATGCTGGAGCATTAATTCAAGCTTTCTCACAGTGCACACAAGACAGGCTATTCAAATAGTGGGAAAAATCACATTAAGTTTTAAACTGTTCCCTCCACATATGCAAATACATTCCAATGCGATGCAGTGGAATAATGATCAGTGGGAATGTATACTTGTTTCTTTCACCCCTTACCCAGGGAAACCCAACAACAAATTTTGTTATTTCCTTTGTAAATAGGATGTGGGCATTGCTAGCTAGGCTAGCATTTATTGTCCATCTGTAATTGCCCTGGAGGAAGTGGGGGTGAGCTGCCTTCTTGAACAGCTATAGTCCTTGGGGAGCTGGCACACTCAGTGAATTTAAGGAGGGAGTTCCAGAATTGTGATCCAGCAACATGAAGGAACAGCAAGTTATTCTAATTCAAAGGCAGTGTGGGGCTTGGAGGGGAACTTGAACGTGGTGGTGTTTCCATGCATCTTCTGCCCTTGTTCTGCCAGTTCATTGTTCATATTAGTTCACATTAGTTCACAGGTAGGTTCACAGTACTGG